GCTGGAGGATTGAACCGCGGTCCCTGTGCTTTGCCAAGCTTGTTTCAAGTAGGTGCTTTAGACCACTGAGCCATCTCTCCAGCCCTCATGCCCAGTATTAAAGGAATTTTTTTTTTTTTCTGGAACTGGGGATTGAACTCAGGCCCCTGCACTTGCCAGGAAAGGGCTTACTCTACTGAACCATCTCCCCGGCCTCTTAAAGGAATTTTTAAAATAATTTTTTGAAAAAAATAGAACCTTGTATATTTCACAGTCTTGTTCTGGCCACATAAGACATGCTTACCAGCTATGCATAGCCCATTGGCTGACACTTTGTACCTCTTGACTCTCTGCCCATACTTCTGTCCCTCCTACCCCTTTCTGTTTACTCAGCTTGACTAGATCTCTATACACCTTTAAAAAACCCAAAATTCTGTTCTGTGTCTCCATCACTCATACTGCTCTGTCTCTTTCCTCTTTCCCGGCAGCAATCTTGGTGTGGGACCTTTCTGAGGGACCTGGTGGCTGTGATTCAGGCCTACTTTGCCTGCACCTTCAACCTGGAGAGGAGCCAAACAGGTGACAGGTGGGAACAGAGAAGCTTTTGCTCTGTCGGCCAGTTTGGCTTCAGTTCCAACATCATGTCTTTTCTTCCTCATTAGGATGAATCCAAGTTAGGAGAAGTTGTGATTTGGGACAGGATTAGAGATTAGCTGAATAGCCCTCAGGATTTAGCTGGTTCCCTTAAGAACCTTGAGACATCTGTAGATTTATCCAGGGACTTTCAGGTGCTAAGAGTCAGTAGTCACCATGGCCCTAACTGTGAATAATCTAGAGAAAACAGCAGAGAAGGGGCATGGAGATGTGTGTGTGTGTGTGTGTGTGTGTGTGTGTGTGTGTGTGTGTGTGTGGAGGAGGAGGAGGAGGAGGAGTATGAGAAAAGGAGGAGCATTTTGATGTGTTCCTTAGCAGAGATTTTCCTACTTTCCCAGAACTGACCCATTCATCACATCTGGGCTTTTAGTAGATGAATGAGAAGAAACTGTGGGCTTATTTTTTTCCTAGCCTACAGGTGTTTCAGGAGGCTGCTGACCTCTTTCTGGACCTGTTGGGAAAATTGCTGGTGCAACGAGACGACTCTGAGCATACACTGCAGAGGGACAGCCTTATGGTAGCCTCCTGCCACCTCCTAATTTTCTATTTTCCTCTCTGTCTCTCTCTCTGTCTCTGTCTCTCTC